CGGGCACCTCTCGTCCCGCTGGAGGTGCAGTGTGGAATCTCACACTCTCTGTGCTGTGCAGTCTCGCTCGTTCCTGTCTCTGTCCTTCCCAGCTATAGATTCCCACAGAAATGGAGTTCTTGGTACTTTGCACTCTGGTTTGGTCTGTGCGGTGATCGCGAGGTTAGGTTCCCGTACAGATGTGCATCTCGCCGTGCTTGGCACTGCCCACGGTCCCTTGGCGGACATCCCTCCAGCCAGACCTGTCCTTTCCCCAGCCTTTATCTCGGTTTTGCAACGTCAGAGCCAAAAAAACAAAAGGCATTGTTGACCCAGGCTCATCGCTCCTGATTAGTCTCAGGGAAGGCATCGCGTCCCATCTGTACCTCAGATGGGTTACGTGGATCGAAAGCTCACGCACGTCCCTCCTGTCTCCCCGTTGGAGCCTTTCAGTCCTTGTGCCTGAACGCAGCGCATCTGGATAGGAGCTGTACCGTCCGGCTCCTTTGCTTTGGCTCCAGCCGCAGGGATGGGATGGGATGGGACACTGTGGATGCTCCTGACCCATGCAGCTCTGGTAGCGAGGGCCTCTGTGGCTCCTGCCTGGAAAGTGGAGCAGCAGGAGTCTGGTATGCGGTCACTGAAGGAGCACCAAGATGTGCACGGGCGGTTTTAAACCCTGGTGTGACGTGAGTGAATGCTGTAGTGCCCTTCTGACCCGGGAAAGCGGGATGGGCAGCCGGCCGGGCCAGCGACAGGACTGGGAAGTGCAGCGCGCTAGAGCTTCTTCCCAGGGGCTGCTCCGTTCTCCAGGGACGCCTCTCCCTGTGCGTGGTTCTGTGCCTGTACGCTGGGCCGCACACCTCTCCTCGCTTGCTGCTCTGGCGTTTCCAGTTGTGAGTACCGTTACCTGAATGTTTGTCTCCCTACAGGCCTGGGGCAGCCAGTGGCCTGGTCTCCTCTGGGAAGTGTTGTGGTCAGTACCAGCAAAGGGCCGTGCCTTTTCCCAACGTAACCATCACCCTAATACTGGGCCTGGAGGTCTTGGATTATTCCACCCGCCCCTGGAACTAATTGCATCTAACGTTCTCTGCCTGGGTTGCCTGTTCCCTGTTTTCTCAAGGTGGCTGCGTATTCTGAGTGCGGCCGGCTGGGGCTCCAGATCAACACGAATTGGTGTCAGGCTGCATTGGGAAGTGTTGGGTTGTCCCTCTCTGTCTTGGCTTGTCCCCATCATGAGAAATACGTCACTGGACACTGAAATCTCAGATGATTGTTCAAAATTTTCATGTATCACAGTCTTTTCCTTGTCTGATCAGCTAGAGTCATCAGTAAGACCCACTTCTCTCAGAGAGCGTGTTGCTGAGTGTTTCAGCTGCTGCTTTCTGTCTCGGGCAGGCGTGGGGACAGGTCTGCCACGAGCTGTCAGCAGCTGGCCAGCCTCTGCTCTGCAACTCCACCGCGTGATTTGCGATCTCAGCTTCTCTGCTCCTCCCAGAGCTTCTTGCTTGTTCAGTACGATCTGCGCGGCTTCTCTTCGGATCTTTAGGATCTGACTTTCTTTTCTTGATTGCAGATGAGACGTTGCTAATCAATGTGATTTGCGGAGTGGTTTCAGGGGTGATCTCCTCTGCGATTGCCAATCCGACAGATGTGCTGAAGGTAAGAGTGTGCCTGGCCAGGGCCAGCTCCTGGCTGGCTGGGGTTTGACGTGCAGAAACTGAGGTGCTCTCTGAGCCACTGCTGGGTCTGCTGGTTTGGGTGTTTTATGAACAGGAACAGCAGCCGGGAGCAATAAACAGATTTTTAAAGATGCAGCTCTTAAAAGTCATGAAATCTGTTATGGCAAGGGGTGGGGGCTGTGTTTTCTGAACTGGGTAAGGCGAGCAGGGTGGTAGCCAGCTGCTCATCAGACCTTCTCGGCTCCTTGCCCTGCGGGCACCGACCTGGGCCTGCCGCTGCCGCAATGTCCCACCTGTTAGTGGAGCGACTGGAGTCCAGTGGGGACCGCCTGGTCCCCTCCGTTCCCTATTGTGGGGTTACTGGCATCGGGCAAAGAGCCTGGAGAATGTTCCCATGCTTCTCCCTGGGTAGATCAACCTTCTCGGACTGCTCTCAGAGTGGGAGGGCCCTGCCCATCACCTCTCTGTCCTGTCTGAGCTTTGCGCTGTGCTTCCCCCGTGGCCGTCCCCGCTCCCGGCCTGCTGTCCCCGTTTGCCATGTGCTTTGCAGGGCGAGGGCACGTGGATGGCGATGTCTGCTCTGAGCTGCTCTGTTCTTTCTCCCGGGAGGACCACCGAGCCGGTGTATCTGCCCTGCTGGCAGGCGCTGATGTCGTCCCGCTGGCTCTCACGTTTCTTTCAGATCCGAATGCAGGCGCAAGGCAGTTTGTTCCAGGGTGGCATGATCGGCAGCTTCATCGACATCTACCAGCAGGAGGGTACCCGAGGCCTCTGGAGGGTGAGTGCCAGCTGCTGGAACCCCCCACTAGTAGCAGAACTAACAGCTTCCTGAACCTGTTTGCTACACCCAGGTGCTGCTCCTGCAGAGAACTGTGAACCAAGGGTAGTAGCAAAGTTCTGCTGCTGGTTACTGGGCACGCAGAAGCACGCCTGTGGCGGAGATTGGGTCTGTGCTATGGCAGCGCCGGCGCTGGGCCAGACAGCCCTGGTTTCCAGGACCAAAGGTGATGCACGTAAAGTTTCAAATACAGGAGTGTCCCTTGGACGGGCCGGCACTGGGGGCTGGATCCTCTCCGTGCTCTGCCTGAGGAAGGATGCTTGGCCTGGGGTGTCTTGGAGGCAACTGGAGGTGACCCTGCACAAGGGAGCAGGGCGATTCACCCGCCTCTGGCTATGCGCGGCTGAGCACCTCCTCACCTGGAGGAAGAGGAATTCTTCCAAGTAACCTGAGAGATGCCAATGGCATACAGTAACTTTCTGAAGTTCCCAAGGGACAAATTTGCCCAGTGTCCCCACCTACCCAGTCTTAGACCCCTTGAAACTTGTGCCCTGAGTGTGCAAAGAGAAGGACAGAGTGGTGGCTTTTGGGGAAGCTGGTGATGTGAGGCTCGGGGGCTTGAAGGCAGGTGAGAGTTACCAGTGCTCCAGCCTTACTGTTTGGATTTTAGCAGTGGCTCCTCAGCTTCTGTTAGAGAGCCTCACTCTCTCCTTCCATTGCAAGCCTTCCGTACACTTACCCAGCAGCGTGCCGAGTCGCTGGGTCAGCTGCTCTTGTGGGGCAGAATCTTCTCTGCTACTGGAACTGGTGGGTGCTCTTCAGTGGGGGGGGGAGATGAGGGGATTACAACCCGAGTCCTGTGCGCGAGTGGCGGGGAGGAGAGGAGCAGCGTGTAGTTAATGTAGCTGGAGTGATGCTGCCGGGGCGGAGGAATCCTCCTTAGCTGTGGAGGAAGGTTGGAGACAGTGAGCTGGTCTGCCTGAAGAGCTACAGCTGCAGGGTAGGGCAAGGAGGATGCGGGGGAGATGGTCAGCAACAGGCCCCTGAGAGGAACCTGGGGGAGATGTTGTACTAGCTGCAGTCCCCGGGCAGCGGTTTGCGCTTCTGACTGATGTTTGTGCTCTGCAGGGTGTTGTCCCAACAGCCCAGAGAGCTGCCATCGTGGTCGGGGTGGAGCTGCCAGTCTACGACATCACCAAGAAGCACTTAATTCTGTCGGGCCTGATGGGTGACACCATCTTTGCCCACTTCGTGTGAGTATCTGCTGCGGCTGGCGGCCTCTTCCAG